CAGGTCACCAGTCTATCACAGGGCTACACTTAGAGACAGACAACCAAGCACACTCACATTCACACCTACAGACAATTTAGAATCACCAACTAACCTCAACATGTTTTTGGACCTTGTGGGAGGAAGTCGGAGAACCCGGAGAGAACCCACGCTGCACAGGGAGAACATGCTACCTCCACGTAGAAAGATCTCAGGTGTCCTCACCGGAACGCGAACCGGCGACCTTCTGGCTGCGACGCAATGGTGCCACCTTGCAGCCCTCATTTAAACTAATACATTTATAAAAAATCAAATAAAATTTCTGAGTAACTAATACAACATTTCAAGTTGCTGTGATAGAATATTTTAACATTTTAACTGTCTGAGGATGCTTTTTTGTCTTTTAGCTGGTCAGCAATATCTCTGACATCCCAATCTGCCAAATATTAATACTGTAATATTACTTTATTTAGCTATTTTTATTTCTTTCTGAGTGCCTTTATGCTCTACTTCTCTTCCTCTTTATGTTCTGTTCCCTTCCACCTCATGTGAATCTCTTCTGTTTAGCTGGTGTTAGGATTGTTTCTTTCAAGGACAACAGATTAAAAGCCTTTTCTAGTCAGACACTGAGCTTTAGGTGGGAAAAAAGGTTCTTTACGTGATACAAGATGATGGAAAGATGTACCCTTGGTTAAAAATGAAGATAAAAAAAAAACTTAAAGGCATAAAAATGCATCACGTTTTTTTCTTTTTGCCCTCTTGCAGACACTCAGCAGACGTGCAGCACTTCAAGGTGCTGCAGGACAGCAGAGGGCAGTATTACCTCTGGTCGGAAACGTTTCCTTCTCTCAACAAGCTGGTGGACTATTATAAGAGCACCTCGATCTCCAGAACGAGTCACATATTCCTGCAGGAGACACAAACAAAGGTAGAGACAGATGAGTCAAAACCTAACATGAGTGAAGAACAGTTGACAATGAAACCATAAAGTAAACGTACATGTAAAATGCTTCTGTCCCAACAGCAAAGAGAAGACTCGGATAACCTGCCACATCTCCCTGCTCCTGTTAACACTCATCCAGACCGTGTGCCTTCCCCTGCACCACGTCAGGTACTCAGCAATACTGTGTGGGTGTGTTTTTGAATGACTGAGTGTGTGTGTTAACGGTGTGTCCCGGTTCATATGAAGACTACTTTGTGCTTGCAAAAGGCTCAACAAATCCGCTCTATTTACATTAACAGTGTGTGTTTGTGAGGGTGCGTAACGTTTGGCCACAAGTAGTTCGATCTTTGAACTTTTCAATTTGATCTGGTGCACATTTTTTTTTTGGGTAACTTCAAGAAACTTCTGAGGATGATGGAAAAACAGCACGACATGATCTAATGAGTTTTCAAAAAAGGGTTTTGTGAGCATTAAAAATTAATAACGGTCTCGTCTCAAAAAGAAGTGTTCAAGTTCTGGAAAAACATGCCGACGACGTGACAGGAATGTGAAGCATCAAAACAACAAGCTAGGATTCAGATAATGAATTCAGTTACAGAAGGAACATTTTATTACTTTAGACTTTGTTCTTTAACTCGATTGACCCAATTACATTCATGCGTGACACTGTCTCCGAATACAAGAGATGAAACTTCTGTTGAGCTGAATGTGTTTCATCTTGTAGGAGTCAGAAGTGTTCATGTCTGTGTCTCATCCTCTACATCCTCCTCTCCTGTCCAGCGCAAAGCCTCCCCCGCGGTGCAGGTCAGAGCTCTGTACGATTTCCAGGCGGAGGAGACGGACGAGCTGGAGTTCAGCGCCGGCGATATCATCGAGGTCCTTGAGTCGTCTGACCAGCACTGGTGGAAAGGCCGGCTGAGGGGCAAGACGGGCGTGTTCCCCTCCAGCTACACCAAACCCATCTGAGAGGAACACACGGGAAATAGAATAGAATAGTTCTTTAATATCACTGTGGAAGCAATGCTAAGAAGACAGTGTTACAGCCACAGATATGTATAATAAAGGCTGGATGTCTCGTCCACGCTGCCGGCCAATGGAATCGCACGGCCACACTGGCGGCCATCTTGGCACGGTGCGCTCGCTCTCCCATAACATTGTGTTGTAGTGGTGCATGGACTTTTTAAATGACCATAACTTGCTCAGTTTTCTACCAATTTTAAAATGGTTTGGTTTGTTATAAACGTCAGAGGTGTAGTTATAACACTGAACTTATGGATAATTATGTTACACTCTCAGGGTCAGCAACAATTTGTACTTTAATTATTTTGTATTTTATTTGTATTTTTGTAATTTGAATTGTAGCCACGTTAATAACGTTTGTAAGAAACCAATCCGTTTGTAAATCCATTTGTAAATTCACGTACCACAGGTTCCGCCAGAGAGCTGCCCCGAATCAAGATGGCCGACGGGTGGTCCTGTTTGAAACGCAGCCTTAAGACATCCAGCCTTTATTATACATATCTATGGTTACAGCAGTGAAATGTCGTAGCATCCTTTTGTGGCAGAAATACACAAGTAAAATTTTTTTTACAAAAGATAAAATAACATGAAAGGAAAGATAAATAAATATATATATGAAGTATAAAATGTAAAATATTAAAGCAAAGGAGGTATTTACAGTACAAACTACAGTATTTAAAGCAGACAGTATTAACAACAGTGGAAGTGGCATGTGCATGTGCAAATTCCAGTCCTGAGGTATGTGCAAGGGGGGATCAGTTCTGGGTTGGTGGAGGAGTTGGGTGCAGTGAGGGGTTGGGTGGGGGTGGGATGAGGATGGGTCGATGGCTTTCACAGCCTGCATGTAGAAGCTGTGCTTGAGATGGTTTGTTTTTGTCTTCATATCTTTTACCAGAAGGTAGGGGGGAGAACAGGGAGTGTCCAGGGTGAGTGGGGTCCTTTGCACTGAATGTGGCCTTCTTCTGAAGTCGGCCGGTGCAAAATGTCTTAAAAAATGTAATATCACTGAAACTTTTTATGCAAACGAATGTCTATCTATTGCTTCTTGTTCTTATGACTAAACTGCAAGCTCACAGCAAGTCACTACTGGAAAGTAGCAGTAAAAGTGTCATAACAGAAAGCATCAGCTGTGTGATTTGAAAATGAGGACGAACCTGTTTGTTTAGCTGCACGCAGACGCAGGCTGCACATGTGATTTCCCAGCATGGCAGGCATCGCTCCGGTTTCCTGTAAAAGAAACACAAGGTGATCAAGTGAATAAACTCCGATTCTGTGTCAACCTTGACAACATTGGGATATTGTTTAATCAATAGTGCACTGATGACATTAACTGCAGCATAGCCCAAATCCACCAAGGTGCACGTCATTTATTGCTATTTAAGCATCCATCAAGCTGATTGTTTAGCCTTCATGGTTGTTTCAAGAAAGTAATCTGTAACTTTTATTTTAAGAAAAACTGTCTACTTGCTGTTCAGATTCAGGATTTATATGCAAACCACATGATTAGTTGACAAACTACGGCGGAGTAGACTTAGATAATAAAATAGAGTCAGCCTTGACGACATGGACTTGCTGCTGACACGTCAACATTAATGTTCTAATAATAAAATATATAAACCACAACAAATCTGCCTGCAATGTAGGGCAACAATATACCAAGGTCCAATTTTTATTAGTGTAATTTAAGAGTCTGTGAAGTCAACGCTGATTGGTCGGCCTTCACAGGACTAAGGTAATAATTAAACCACCTGGATGATTCAGTCGTGTGTGATCGTGCGTGCAAAGGAATGAAAGAAGTTTTTGAAGCACTGAAAGATTAAAATTGAAACTAAAGACTTTTGCACTGTCATATATATGCAAAAAGACACATCCACAAGTTTACATTCACACCACCAACATATATGCAGAGGGTTTGTGAACATGTTATCAAATTAAATGTAGGATTTGTCACCACCCCTGAGGGCATGCATGGCATGGCCTATCTTGTTTGACCCACATGTTGCTCATCTGATTGCTCAGTTTATTGCTTGTGCGGGTGTGTTTTCGCAACATGAACAGAGGGGGGTAGACTGGGAGGGAAAGGGAAACTCCCAGCAGCTCTACATGTTTCCCAGTGACTGGAAGAGTTTCCACAGATTCAACCCTCAAACTTCTGCTGCGTTCAGGGTCCACCTGTAAACTGGGAATTCTCGAAGGTTAGGGTTATTTGAATGTGCAGAGGGAGGAGTTGAGAGTTAGAAAGCAACAATAATATTAATTTATTTTAAAAACATGTAGGGAGAATCACCAGAAAGGGCTTCAGGTTTTATTTTATTTATTTATTTATTTTTTTTTAATTTTAAAAAATATGACAAGAAAAACTAATAAAATTCAGAACAGTCAGACTGGTAAGTACAGTCCTCCTCATATGTATTCCTACCCTTCTATTAAAGAAAAGGCAAAATTCACAATAGCTATTCAAATAAATATAAACTGAAAAAAGTAATAATAAATAAAAATTTGTTAAATTATAATTTAGTGAAATAAGACATCACTTTTGATTTTTTGTTGAAAATAACAATAATAATAAAAAAAATAATAAAAACTGTCTTGGACAACTTAGAGCACTTTGGGCCAGAATACCTGTCAACAGATGCAGAAGTCTGACTGAGAGTTACAGAAAACTCTTGAATGCAGTGATTGAAGGGTTGTTTAACTAAATATTAGTTTACGGGTCCCATCATTCTTTTTTTTAAAATATTTCTGTTGAACCACAATGCCATGATTTTCATTAAAATTTTTTACTTATTATTACTTTTGTCAACTTTAAGCGCAGTCTATATTTCACACACCTTCTCACGCCTACATTCCAGTGGATGCTCTTTATTCCCCTGGCACTTGAAGGCACCACGGTCCGTGCCCCACCTCTGTCCCTCCCGGTCAGGTGAGAAAACTTCCCCAGTTTTGTTTTTACCTGTCCGCTGACACATCAGCAGGCAGGTGTCCTCACGTGGTGTCACAGGGTTTCTGAGCTCCAGGGAGCCGTCAACAACCACCATGGCCGAGTCCCAGCTCATGTGCATGGAGGACGGTCGCATCGGAGCCAAAGTCCCGGAGTCCAAACCGGAGTTCTACTACAGCGAGGAGCAGCGCGTGGCCATCGAGGAGCTGCTCAAGAATGGCGACGGCGCGTTCAAGACGCGCCTCAGAGAGGACGACATGAAAGACTTCCTGTCCGCCAGGGAGGTCAAGCTGGTCCTGAGCACCTTCAAGAAGTACGACACGGGCGATGACAGCAGCGGCGGCGGCAGCAGCGCTTCTCCCTCCAGGTCGGAGAAGGGAGCCGCCGGCACCGACGCGGACTCGGGGGTCCACTCCACCTACTGGCCCCAGATGTCGGACACTGAGGTGCCGCCGCTGGACATCGGCTGGCCCGGCGGGGGGTTGTTCAAAGGGGTGACCCGGGTGGCCGTGCACACACACCCGCCCAAAGAAAACGGACCCCACATCAAGGAGGTGGTGCGGAGGCTCATCCAGGAGGCCAGCAAGGTGAGGAGGGCTCAGTGCTGACTCGGTTCTAATGAACAGCTCAGTTCTAATGAACAGCTGGTCAGGGTCAGTATTGCTTTAATTAGGGCCCATTAAGAGTGACTTAGTTGACAAAGTTGTTCGTAGATAACCATGAAGTAAACTATTTGATTTAAACTCAGTCCACAGATAAATTAGAAAAGTAGAACATTGTGTGCTGATAAAGACATAGACTGTCATTTAAAATAGTATGAATGAGGAATACCATTTGTTATTAATGATAATAATAATAATAATGATGATAATAATAACAATAATAATAATCGAAGACTGGCAAATAGTTTCCACCCCAGCGCAATCATCACACTGAACTCTGCAATAAAAGAACTGAAATAACGTATAATAATCATCAGTGTGTAATAACCAGTGATGTGCAAAAACTTCTATATTCACTGCAATAGTGGACTTATCTATCTATCTATATATATATATATATATGGGGATGGGTTTGTATTGTTTTTAACTGTGGTTCCTATTTTTTACTATTTATTTTATATTTTTACTGTTTATTTTATCATTTGTATATTTATATAGCAAGAAGGTCGCCGGTTCGCGTCCCGGTGAAGACACCCAGGATCTTTCCACGTGGAGTTTCCATGTTCTCCCCGTGCAGCGTGGGTTCTCTCCGGGTTCTCCGGCTTCCTCCCACACAGTCCAAAAACATGTTGAGGTTAATTG